TATATATATATATATATATGCGCGACGACGCTCGCTCACCGATGAAGGAGACGTTGCGGATGTAGGACAGCAGTCTCTCGCCGGATATCGGCAGCATGTTGGCACACAACCTGCTGGTTCCGGGACAGAGGTCACGCTGCATGTTGTGCACAGCATGCGCCATCGCGTACACGGCGTCGACGACGAATGGCACGAGACCTTCTTGTTCGTACCCCGAAGCCTTCGTTATCTTCTCACGACCTGGGATGCAAACATCTTACAGCTTAGACGGGTACAGTGCGTCATTCTATATGCTCTCCCAACCGTGAGCCTACTGATAATCTAACACTAAAGCGAATCGAACTTCATCCTAACCGTGTGAATAAATTTGTCCCTAATCTTAGCAGTGACCTGAATCCTAGCCTACTTCCTACCACCTACTACATCCTTATTCTCAACCCTAAATCTAATATTAACCTATCATCATCACCATCACCAGCATGAACATAACCATAACCATAACACTATAATCCTAATCATCACCCTGATTCTAATCCTAACCATTACTCTAAACCTAATCTTAATCTTAAGTCTAACCCTAACCATAACCATAACTCTAATCCAGACCCTAAAGCTAGAAACTGAGGTTAGACGCATTTTCGACCCGCAATACGTTGCGTGACGTGTATTGCACACATACATAAGTGCGACGCGTATACTGTGAGCACGGTCTGACTCTTTTAGGTGAAGTTTATTAGGCGCTTTCATCTTGATGGCGATGGCCGCCAAGGCCGCGTTGTCCCCCACGCGCGCATCCAGCGAGCCAGCTAGCATCGTCATTACTGCGCTCAGTAATAAGCAAATCACGCACATCGGCGGAACAGAATGTTAATATGGCTGATTAGTGCAGCCGCTTGGCATTTAGAATTTTAACATATCGGCTACATACGTACACGCGAGTATACATGCAGTCGTGCGTGGCTGTACCCTGGTACACAAGTATAACGGCCCAAGGATATAACCACATTTGCACATTTTCACATGTCGCACATTGCGAAAATGAATTGGGACAGCTCTTATATATCCTTGAACCAGTATAACGGTGGATGTGTCATGGAGTCCATTCATACTCGTATATACGATCCCGAAGTCATAAATCCACAAAACCTGCGCCGCGGTTGTGGATCGCTCGTAGATAATTAAGTGTCATACAACAATGCGTCGGTTAGAAACAGCTGGCCTAAGCTGACCGAGTGGACGGAGTCAAATAACTACGTTCTAGAAGAGCGACTTCATTGGTTCCTAATTTAAACGCCAGTCGGCAGCACGCAGCACTTGCGCGTTTACGCCACTGATTTCGATCATAGACTAACAATATCAAGACACGACACGCAGGATATAATATGTTAATGAACTTATTGTTACCGAATATGCAAAATGTTAGGTGCGTTCTAGTCATTGCGGAAACTGTAATTGTTAATAATAGAAGTGGCACTGATATAACTCATTATCTATAATTATTAACGTTTTGCTTACAATAAATCGGAGACAAATTCAATAACAGCTAAGAATGAACTTTACCTAGGAAATAAATTTAATTTAATAAAAAAGAAGATGGCATAATTTTTATGAATTTATTCTTCTATATATAACCATCCAAATTTAGACAGGTACATGCAGCCTACATGTACAGCCACAGTAATCCTAATAAAGTGCAATATATATATATATATATATATATATATATATACTCTAAAATAATATACTAATAAATTGCTATATATATTTAAAAATATACATGGCAATTTATTAGTGTTGCTATATGGTATATGTATTAAATTTTTGCTAAATAAACACACACACACGCACGCACGCACACACACGCACACGCACACGCACGCGCACGCGCACGCACACGCACACGCACACGCACACGCACACACACACACACACACACACACACACACACACACACACACATATATATATATATATATATATATACATAACCACTCCTACTAGTATAGTAGTATTATCATCGAAGTGGCCGAATATATTCAGCCACTTCTATAATAATACTACTATACTAGGAGTGGTCACGATTTCCTGTGGCTATATACCTAGTAGTGGCTAAGAATTATTAAGTAAATATATACATAGACTGAATAAGTTATTCTTATAGTCTATGTATATACTTACTTAATAGCTCTTGGTATATAGCACTGAGCTGTGTGTAAAAACTGGAAAGCGGATCACGTGACTGCTCCAGTCGCGCCGCCATATTGAAAAATCACAGTTTTATCTATAGAAATATAATAGAGACGCCTATATTATTTTTATAGATTTAGCTGACATAGTGGCGTGTGCTGATCAAAAATGCACGTTTATTGTTCAAAATAACGATCTGCTGTGCGTTTGGGCGCTCGATAAAGAACTTTAAATTATGTGGCAATCCTTTCACTTGCAGATAGTCATTTAATATGCGCTATATAAATACAGTCTGCTAATTTAATTACTTATAATTTAGATCTGGGAACCAGCCAGCTATATAAACATCAGCTGGGTATAGCATAAGAACAGTATGTATAGTCTCTGTTTACCGCCAGGTTTTACTGTTTGTGTTTCAGATTCAGATTGATCAATAACATTATAATATGAAAAGCATATGCAGGATATAGATTTGCACGCAAAATTTTATTACATTTAAACAAATTATATAATTAAATTAAATATGTGATTAATTATGTGATTAATAATTATTAAATAATGATTGTATCTCTGTAATAATGTTATTATATACAGCTCAGTGGTATGGTGGTATATAGAGATCAATGGTTTACGCGCGCCACCATTGCTTTACGAACACCCAAGCATGCTGACCTGTTTCCTTCCGAATTATTTTTTTGCTGTAAGTCTGCAGTCGCGGCAATTTAGCTGTTTTTCGGGAGTTCTTACTGCGCGTACGTATGGATTTTATCCAGCGAGCGAAAAGTGGGAATCCCACCCTTACAAACAGTTAACTGTTATTCTCCGGAAAAAGCGACATTTCTCTCCTATTTTCGGCGCTATGTGCACTTTTTAGGCGTCGCTGGTACGCGCTCGCCTTGCGTGACATTCAAATATTTTGAGACGAATGTCATCGAACGACCTTCCAACGAAACGGCAGCCATTTTAAAACGTTGTTTGTGTTGCAACTCTCTTGCTATTGCTCTTGCTATATACGAGTGTCCTGTGCTCGTGCGTCAGTGCTGGGTGTTTGTATCTACCGGTGTACTAGTGCGAGACTTGCTTTTCTGTACATTCTTTCGTGTAAATCAAAATCCATTAAATCTATCCATTATCCCTTCTCTATTATCCATTATCTTTTTACTATCAATCAAAATTAATTTCCCAACTATCTTGATATAAATCTCTATCTCTACTTATCTAATCTTAAATAGCTTCGTAGGGCAACGCCAGGTGGTACATTGATGAAACAGTATCACACTGTCGTCAAACTGATGAAACAGTATCACACTGTCTTCAAACTGATGAAACAGTATCACACTGTCTTCAAACTGATGAAACAGTATCACACTGTCTTCAAACAGATAAACAGTATCACACTGTCTTCAAACAGATGAAACAGTATCACACTGGTTGCGTGTGTTACGCACGAGCGAATCATGCATCCGTCTCGATTTGTATATTTATATAGCAGGTGGCCGCGTGATTATACCGGTGTAAACGTTTCTATAGTTCATGATTTTTCCTCAGCTTGACTAAAGTAAGATCTGGTTAGGGCCAGTCTAGGTAGTAACAAGCTAGTCACACTGAACACCATCGAACATCATGCGCAACGCTGCAACCTGACCGAATCCAATAATTGAAATAACCGCTTATAGACTGCACCGCCGTCGCTTGACTGCCGCTGTCGAGTGCACTGCTCCCGTAGGGGACCTAAGGGCGTAACCGTCTATAGTTAACCCCTTCATTGTTAAGCCGTCAGTGGAGCAGCGGATGCCGTGCAGCGGATGGTGAAGAAACGAGCGGCTATCTTCTTTCTACATTACGGTCTGAAGAAACTGGGCGTAGTCGTGAAAAACACGACAGTTGCCGCTATGCGCAGTATGGACGCTCACACATAGCCTACTCGCACATTCAGTGCCGAATCACCGCCAAATCACTGCGCGGGCGCTTCTCTCACATAAGTCTTACCTAACATTTTAATCGTTTATTTATATTCGATTATATATATAATAATATATAATAGTATATATATATATATATATATATATATATTTAATACTACCCATTAGAGCTCGCCTTCATTCAGCCTCTCTATAAATATTATAGTTCTCTATGTATTGCGCAAATTTTCGTGGTAAAAAAGTGGTAATTTTCGTGGTAAAGTTCTTGAATCTTAAATTTCCCGTGCCAGCAACGTCGTTCAATACAGACGTAACTATACGAATACTCAATAAGAAGCTGTAGAGAGGCACTTGATTATAATTTATCTGCACATCTATGTAACATAGCTCTTTTGAGGCAGAAGCTGCGAGATCTCGCGAGATCTTGCGGTGATGACCCAGATTGGCTCCTTCGTGTTGTCAGGAGCGCATCGGTGCAAGGCCCGCATTACAGCGCACATCAGCCGTCTCATGTTCTCTCCTTCCATCACATCATGTCTGCAGCAGCTTACGATACACAACTCCTGATAGCTGTGATCACGTAACTGATTAATTCTCTCGCTCGCCAAATTGTTTCCTTAATATGCTAATTAAGCGCGCGCTTATAAGCTCTCCGATTCGGGAATATTGGCTTACAGTGTGCAGGCGCTTGCGCTCGGCTAGTGTTATTGTGTCACCCCACCCCCACCACCACCACCGACCCCGAACAATATTAATACGGCCCGCATTACGCATGCCGAAATATGATTGCCTTAATAGAAAAAATATCGACGACCGAGTCCGTGTGTATCGTCTGCTATGCCACTCCGCCGTCTCCGCGTCTGCGGCTACGGAGACGACTGCGGGCACACATAGCGGCTACGTGATGGGGGTGGGGGGAGTATAATCAGGTGGGTACTGTGGTGGCATGCGGCGACGCCTCGATTCAAATAAGAGAGACTGCCGCTGCTGCTTCTTTGTCGCGCTTTCTCATCGCTTTACCGTCCACGACAGGAGTCCCCGTTTCCCCGGACGCGCGTCGCGACCAGATCTGGAGATCTCTATATACGGCTATGGCCGCGACGCCCCGCGCGCGCCCTCTGGCGGTCGATGCTCACCTGTGCAGACGTCGGTGTGTCGGAATTTCTGCTCGCCGTCGAACTGGCAGTTGAAGTGCGCTTCCCAGAACTCTTTCAGCCAGACGTTCTTGTTATGCTGCGGCATGCTGAGCGACGTGAAGTACTTATCGAAACCTGCGGCAGACGCGGAACATCGCGTGAGTGCGGTCACAATGCACGGGGAAATTGTCAGCCCTACTACTAGGCCAGTCAATCTACGGTTTGACTATACATCTACATGCTGATGATGAGACGAAAGATAATCACTGAACAATAGTTCTGCGACATCGTGCTCACGCTCACTCATGCACGCGCGCGCTCACACATACACACACACACACACACACACACACACACACAAGAGCGTTTCAATAAAATATAATGCTAAATAAATACGAAATCTATTTACTACCAAAGTCCTAATGTTTCTCTACTCCCTTTCGCCTATTATTGCCTACAATTTCCTGTATTAAATGCCGTGCAAATGCTCCTCTGCAACACACATGTCCACCGCACTCACGCTGCCGCACACTGACACATAAATATAGAGACGCTCCAAGTGCCTGTGTGTGATGCCTAAGCAAAATGAACAGCTATAATGCCCGTGCACGTACTTGGGCGAGGAAACCTCGCGGTGTAGGAATGCATGAGTATAGTAGGCGAAATTAAACATTGAAAACGAGTTTGAATTTGATCTCGAATTGGAAATTCACCATCGATATGAGATTCCGAAGCGAACTTTAAAATTTCTTTTGCATTTGAAAATTCGAGTTGAGATTTCGAAATCGATTTTACAAACACACTGCCGGGTTGCTAGTCTGACTCCATAGCATATAGCAGACGCCATAGTAGCTAGCATAGCATATAGCAGACGCCATAGCAGCTAGCATAGCATATAGCAGACGCCATAGAAGCTAGCATAGCATATAGCAGACGCCATAGAAGCTAGCATAGCATATAGCAGTCGCCATAGCAGCTAGCATAGCATATAGCAGACGCCATAGAAGCTAGCATAGCATATAGCAGA